AATTCTTTACTAGACTGCTTGTCTTTGGCTTTCAGAGGAATCCTGTCATTGACTAATGATTTTTGTGGACTCCACTATATTCTGCATCAGTGGCAGATTTGCAATTCTAGTTTGCAGCCTATTTACATGGTCTAGTTAGTCATTATATCATCTGATATCCCAACAAGATGCAGGAGGTTACTAAAAGGATAAAATAAAATATATAAGCATAGTAGTATAGTAGATGCTTAATTAAAGGGAAAGCCATCCCCTTCTTCACTTTCTTCAGACTTAGTATATCCATTTTCATTTTATGCCTTTGCCTAGACTATTCCATCCTTTGAGACAGTCAGTTCACAAAGGAATATTTTCATGTTGTGACTACTTGTGCTTCCTTATAAAACATTCTGATGAGCTCACAACTTGGAGCCCTTGGAAAAAGAAAACCCCAGGGTGTAAATGGTTGGAGGCCTGGGGTGGTGGGCATTTCTGGAAACTGAAATTGTCATTAGGGTGAGCTGACAGAGACCTGAATCATACTCAGCATATGGATCGAAGAGGCCAGTTGCACTTAAAACATAGTTAAGATTAAATTTAATGGGATAAGTAATTCGGGCACCTGGAGATGTAAACTGGAATGAGGAACTCAGGAAAGAAGGAACTCAAAAGTGGAGCTGGGAAAGTGGTGGAGATTGTGAGGTAGGTTTTTGATCCTCTGAGATGTGATTTTGGTGGCCTCTTTCCCCTCCATGGGAAAATAAACAACCCACGTCAATCAATCACAGCCACTGGCACTTTAGAAAAATTCCTTTTGGTTTTTAAGTCTTTGATCCTTTTTCAAAAGTCAACACCCTTGACAGGGCTGACATTTTGAGCTGCTAACAGTCACCCCAGGGTCAGTGGATGATTTGATAGGGGAGTCTTGGAGGAGAATGGGAGGGCACGATTGCTGAGAAGGGACAGAAGGCACACCAGGAAATGCAGCCAGGGCATTGGGCCTTCCAGACCTGAGGGGACCAGCAGGTGTGCTTGAGGCTTACATCATTCAGATTTCTATATACCCAGAGACATGCTCTTGAATGTGGCCCTGAGGTTTGCTCTCGACAGCATAAGCCTCCAGCCTGGTCAGACCCACTTCCTCCTCACTGTGGCTGCAGAGTGCCAATCCTCAGCTCTGCCTTCTGCGTCTGCTGCTCTTGGTTTCTTTTCCAGATCCTCCTCCTCTCCCTCTCTGCATATCCTGCCCACCCTCTCAGGCCTCCCATTACCTCCAGCTGTCCTTGACTCTTTTAATAAAGGTTAAAACCTTTTGTTTTTTAAACCTTAGGCCTCTGCAGATCTTTAATTTATAAATGTGAATCCCGAATCCCTGTGAAGTGTTTCTCAGGTTATTTACTTGTATAGGAGCCTCTTTTGCATCTTGGAGGCTAGTATTCTGCAGGACAGGCCCTGGAAGGGTGGAAACCTCATCATCCTCCACTGTGAATCCCCCTGTTAGCTGAGGGTAGTCATTTCTGAGGAAACTCTAGGGACACTTTTTAAAAACTTTTTTATGCCCGGCTGTTTGGCTCAGTGGTTAGAGTGTTGGCTCAGCAGTTAGAGTATCAGTCCATGGACAGAAGAGTTGCAGGTTCAATTCTTTCTGGTCAAGGGCATGTACCTGGGTTGCGGTTTGGTCCCTGGCCATGAGTGGTAGGGAGAGAGGGAGTCCTGCAGGAGGCAGCCAATCAATGTATCTCTCTCACATCGGTGTTCCTCCTACCCCCACCCCTCACCCCATCTGAAGATAAATGGAAAAATGTCCTCTGGTGCGGATAAAAAAAAGAAGCAAACAAAGAAAAAACAAAACAAAAAAAACCCTTTTTTATGGTAAAATAGATCTAAAATTCACCATTTCAACCATTTTAAAATCTACAGTTTAGAGGCATTGTGTACATTTACTGTGTTCTGCAACTATCACTATCATCTGATTTCAGAACATTTTCAATGCCCCTAAAGAAAATCCTGTACCCATTAAGCAGTTTCTCCCCATTTCCCTTCCTTCTGGCCTCAGCAGACACTGATCTGTTGGAATTGTCTATTCTGAATATTTCATATCAGTGAAATCACATAATACATGGACTTTTGTGTCTGGCTTCTTGAAAATAAATATGCCCTGGCCAGTTTGGCTCAGCAGTTAGAGCGGGGGCCCGCAGACCAGAGTCCCGGGTTGGGTTCCCGCTAAGGGTTGTGGTTGCCCTGGCCCCGGTTGGGGTCATGTGGGTGGCAAACAGTTGATGTGTCTCTCTCACATCGATGTTTTTCTCTCTCTCTTCCTCTCTCCCTACCGCTCTATCTGAAGATAAAAGCAAAAATGTCCTCAGGTGAGCATAATAAATAAATAAATATGTACATACATACAAGGTCTTAGACTGCATGATACACCTCTGCTCCCCCAACACAGCTCTTTATTATTGGCCAAATCCTTATACACATGTAAGTAACAAAAAGCAATTCTCCATTCGAAAACCTCCTGATCATGTGGGCAGGCTTAAAATATGGAATACTATACAAAAGGGTCAGTAGTATGGTTGCTGTTGACATGACTTGACCTAGGGTTTCAGGAAGCCGACTTGAGTCAGGCTGGGAGGCCTTTCCTGGAAATCAGAGGTGACTGAGTTGTTGATACGATTGGCTTATCACCTTCACCCATCCTCTCTCCAGTATGCGGTCTACATTTCAAGCTGCTCGTCATTTAGTAACCATTGAACATTCTAGAGTGGGTTGAGTTCTTCAGGGGCAGCTGACAGGAAAGTTGTACCATCCACTGTACTGCAGAACCCTCATTGGTCCTTTGGGCACACTCTTTAAGCCTGAGTACTCGTGCAGAAATTGGATGTCTAAGGGCTCTCTGTCTCACGTGTTGAAATTCCCAGAGGGTGGTTATCCCTCATCCACTATAAAGACAGCTGTTGGATGCCCCTTGTAGCACCCTGTGCTTATTTGCCTCACAGGCTTGTACAACCTCCTTACTGTTCTATTAAATTGCGCAGGATCTTTCTTCTCGTCTGCGCACCCTCCAGTCCTCCACTCATTGATGCATCTTGAGTCCAGGCACAGTACTGCCAGAAGGTGTGTCACCCATCTACCTAAAAAACACTATCTTCAATGTGCCGTTCTTCTACTGAAGAATCTGTGCTACTGTCTTGGTATCCAAATTCTTATTTAGTTTTCTAGCCCATCTCTTTCCTTTTTTGGTGTAGACTGTGGCCCTCCATACTGATCAGGCTGGTCTCATTCCTCGTCCCCATCAAGCCCTTAGCTTTTCCTTCTTGGGCTTGAAATGACTACCTGCCTTTGCTCATTTTTTTTTCCTGACCAGTCTAACTCTCCCTTTGAAGCTCAGCTTAGGTTCAGCAGTTGCACAAAGCCTCCCCAGACATTCTTACAAGTCTTGCTTCCTGCACTAAACTTATGTTGTACTCTAACGTCACAGAATTTAGAGCAGGTGGAGAACCTTTTTTAGTAAAGATTTTATTGCTTACTCTTTTCTCCCCAATTAGATGACCAGCGCTCAGAGGAAAGGACAATAAAGTTAAGCAGGTAAAGTGGGAAGGCATTGGATTGTGAATCTAAGACCCAGGTCACCTCTGGGCACAGCCACTTGCCGGCTGTATTGTCTTGGCAAAACTACGTATCCTAACTTCCGTTCTCATCTGTAGAATGAGTGGGGGTTAAGGAGGGTGTATTAGTTTCCTATCTGCTGCTATAACAAGTTACTACAACTTAGTGGCTTAAAGCAACAGAAATTTATTCTCTTACTGTTCTGGAGGTCAGAAGTAAAAAATGGGTTGGCAGGGCAACATTCCTTCTGGAGGCAGTAGGAAGAATCCATTTCATGTCTTCTTCAGCTTCTGGAAGCCCACTGCCTGCATTCCGTGGCTCATTGCTCCCGCCTTCATCTTCAAAGCCCATTGTTCCATCTCCTTGCTGTGTCCCTGATTCTCTTTTTTCCTTTATAAGGACCCTTGTGACTATATTAGGCCCAACTAGTTAATCCAGGATAATCTCCCCACCTCAAATTTGATCACATCTGTAAAGTCTTTTATACCATGTAAGGCAATATATTCACAGGTCCTGGGGATTAGGACATGATTAGGACATAGGGGCCATTATTCTGTCTACCACAGTGGGTTTTTAGGTCTCTTGTACCTCTAACATGCCATGAATCTAAAGACAGATTTCTTCCAGTTTTTTAAGGAGCTTAGTGCTGTACTAGATAAATTATGTTTATCCATGAGGATTTTATCTACTCAGATTGTTATTAGGTATTCTAGGGCCTGATACAACTCAGCAATAAAACTGAGTGCAAACCTTAGGATTGTTCTGTTTTCAGGTTTCCACGGACTACGCTTTTACTAGCAAAAATTTGATGATGCTCCTCTACCTATCTTTGATATTTGTGCTTTGTACATTCTGAAAAAGCCTCAAAGAATTTAATCTGTTTCCCAGTAACCAGAGATAGCCTTTAAACAGCCTGTTAATTATCCTGGTGATTCTGCCACATTTTTAGTGGTCTCTCCATAAATTCCTGAATGTGTTTCCAGGTCCTCTTGCATAAGTTGAAGTCAATGCATTGTTAAGGTCTAGAAGCCCAGTAGTCTTGGATACAAACCTAGTTAGTCTTTTTTGTAACTGCTACTTATGGTATTACACAGCAAATTAGATTGGCATTTGCATAGGTGTTATGGTATTTTTTCCTACATCCCGTAGGGTGGTGTCCACCAGGGTGACCACTGTTTACAAAGCAGTGAGAAAGCATTCATAAAATATACTTATAATGGCTCTCTTGTTTTCTCCCCAGTGTTCAGCTCATTGCGCTGAGAGAGGATTCCCCATGGGTTGAAAAACATATTCCTCCCACCACATAATTTTAAGTTTTGAGGTTACTTTTGACTGTCCAATCTGAGAAATGCACAATGTGAGTCAATCATTTATCTTCAGCCTGCATATTGAAGTTTTCTTTCCCTTTTGTTTCCTAGATGCACCCACTGGGCCTATGTAATAACAATGACGAAGAGGACTTGTATGAATATGGCTGGGTAGGAGTGGTGAAGCTGGAACAGCCAGAATTGGACCCAAAACCATGCCTCACTGTCCTGGGCAAGGTAAGTACCAGGCTCTCCCAGACTCTCCTGATTTTAATTGGTGTTCTCCACTCTCCCAAAATCCTTGCTGGTACCGTGCTCTTTCCTAGATGATGTCGAGTGGGTTGAGCACTAAGACATGTCTTGTAGCAACCCACCAAGGCACTACAAGCTTGGACTCTGATGGAGACTACTAGCCTCAGTCAGCTCCACCTCTTATCCACTTTGTGGCCTTAGGCAAGTTACTTCCCCCAAAGACTCTCAGTTTCTTATCTGTGAAATGGGTTCATAATAGAGATTCACAATACCTTATCTTTTACCCTTTGGGCCAGCTGTTTCAGAATTCTGAGACTTTGAGGGTTTAAAAAGGTATTCAAGTGTCAAACACATTCATATTTGTGTAGTAAACTTTATGGATATTCACATTAGTGGGTTAACTAAAATCTAAATAGCCTCATGTTAGTACAGGGCAACTTTGCCTCCAAAATGAGTTCAGGTCCATTAAATTTTGCTGCCAAGTAAGCTATGGAAAAACTTTTGGGTCTTAGGGCTTTTTTGGTTTCAGAATGGCAGACAGCAATTATGCTCCTGTATTAGAACTTACCTCATAGAATGGTTAGGAGGTGAGATGAGACACAAGCATCTAGCACAGAATAAGCTTTCAAAATATGTTTGCTACCATTGGCTTTTGTCATCCCATTTAGAAGTATGAAAAAAGACTTTTTTTAAGCCAAGAATATCAGCATTACCTCTGACTGCAATGTAAGATAGAAATAAATTTATTTTGGAAAACCATGCATCAGTGATCTTAAAATATGACAGGTAACAGCCTGTCTTAAACTGGATCATTTTGTGAAAGGGAAAGCTCTGGAAAAAGTTATTAGAATTTTGATTGGAGAAAGGGTGGTATCTCCTAAGGATTGTCTGGACATTTTTTATAATCTCAGAAGCTGCTGTTCTAGGTACCATGGGGAGACAGCTGGAGAGGAAATGGTCCTGGTTCCTGGGCTCTTAAGGACTTTTTGGGAGATGCAGTCAAGAGAAGAGGTTTTGGTGCAGGATACTTTCCCAGCCCTGAAGATATCCCAGCCAATGTCTCCTGAACAACTTTTGGCCCAGGAGACCCTTATAGATCTAATCTATGATTTTTGCTTCCCACCTCTCTTCTGAGTGGCTTCCTAGCACTTGTCAAGTTTTGCCCTTTTATAGCACAAAACAAACAAACACAGGAGTTATTACCTGTTTGGTTTATAGTTCACAGAGTTGAATCAAGGTGTTTTCGGTGGCCCAGGCCCTGATACTTTTTGTTTAAATAGCTGGCCAGAACTGCTTAATGATGCTAGGAGAGCAGTAACTCCCTTGAAAGTATTTTAGTGTTTTCCTAGGAAAAATGCCAGCTACATCCAAAGGCTGTAGAACAGTGCTTTCCTTGTAGGTAGTACGCTCCTAATAGAATATTTTCTCCTTTACTTAAGTTGCTGCTGTGCAGAGCTCAGCAGCTTGTCTTGATTTGCTTTACCCCAGTTCAGTGGGATCCCACCTTTGTGTTTGTAAATGGGCTGGAACAGGGCTCCCAGGGACACCCTCTTCTCCCATTGTGTTCCCTCCTCTACCTAGAACAACCCTGTAGTGGTTTTACTTGGAGAGTTTTGTATGGTTTGGCCTGCTGACCTGTGAAGCCAGGCGGAATACAAACCCAGATATATATTGAATCATTAAGTACTTCTTGGGTTTATTCATTCACCAAATATTTATTGAATGTAGGGGCCCAGAAGCTAAGGGTGTGGTTTTACCTGCTTACAAGCAATAGCCCCCCCCACCCCACCCACACACCTTGTTTCTGTTTAGAGAGGTTGTATGGTGGCCAGGCAGTATTTACATGTGGTTAGTTACTGAAATTTGGCTTAACACCTGAGTAAAATCATTAGCAAAAATGCTTGGGCAAGACAGTTTTGAATTTATTTACAACCTGGGTTGGTGCAGGAGGTATGAAAAGTTAGGCATCTCTCTTTCTGTCTCCCTTTTTTTCTCTTTCATCTTCTTAAAGTGTAGTTGTTCTCAGCTTCAATTATTTTTTAACTTTGCTAACTGTGCTTTTTTTTTTTTTTTCCTGAGTCCCCAAGGGCAGTGGCAAGAGACTAGGGTAAAGAAAAGCAAAGTGGTCCTCTTGGACAGCCTGATCTCCTGCAGATATCATGGCTTTTCATCATTTCTTTGCTCTTAGTGGCTATGGTGAGGAGGTGGACAGTGGAGAGAGGCACAAAAGGAGAAACATCCAAGTCAGTGTGGGGGTGGGGGGAGGGACTTCTCTGTATGGATGTTGAAACTTGTTAAAAACCATAGAAGGGAGGATTCTGTATTTCAGGCATTCTGAAAAGCCTGTGGGAGAATAGGGGAGGGACAGACACACACCCCTTTCCCTCCCCCATCACCCACCCTCATTACCCACCTGCCCCACCCGCCCACAGAAAATGCCATGGGGCGAAAAGTTGGAATAAGAGAGGAATGTACTAAATTAAAAAAAAAACGTAAATGCCTCTCCAGGAGTTCAAATAAAGTTTCATTTTTAAAAGCAAAAGACATAAACTCATCACCTTGGTTTATTACTGAGTGCTTTTGAACTGCTCAGAAAGGAACACTGTAAACTTGGGAGAAAAAAATGATTTATGATCCCCTCCTCATAGTCTTTTTGATTCTGCAGGAGATGGGACAGACAGTAGGATCAGCTAGAGAGGCAGAGTTGGGGTGATGGTGAGCCCCCCAGGCTCTGGGCAAATCTTAGCTTTTCAGGGCCTCTTTTTCACTGAATATGAAGTGGCTGTTCTGGGCCCTTTGCTCTTTTAATATTTTGAGCTTCTGTATCATATTTAAAACCTTCCCTTGCTATTCTAGTTTGAAGAGATTCTAATTGCAACATTGAAAGACAGACTTCATTACTTGTGATAATTTAAATTCTAGGAAATTAAAATAGAATAAAATTGATGTTTCTGAGTAGCTCACTATTGAAAGTAGGGGTCTTAAACCATCCTATTTCTATGACCTCTCAGTCTCATGGAGAGTCATGGAAGGGAACACACAAAATGTGCTGGAGTTTCTAACAAATCCCACCTGGCCCAGATTTCATAAATTGAGGCAGAGTCTGCCCCTCACACCTTCACATCCCATGTTAGCATTGCAGTCTTAGCCCTGGCCGGTTTGGCTCAGCAGTTGGAGTGTCGGCCTGCTGACCAGAGAGTCCCGGGTTTGGTTCCCGCTAGGGGCACATACCAAAATAAAATAAATAAAAATAGAGTTATAGTCTTAGGGAGGGTTTTGAAAGACAGAATGGTCAGTGGGCATGGACTTGGCTCTTTCTAGTACTTAGAGGACAGTGAGTAAGTTAATGAAAAGGTAAGAAAGGCAGGGAATTTTAAGTCACAGAGATCCAGCTTTGGCTGAGTGACCTTAGAAAGATCACTTCAGCCCTTGGGCTTTACTCTTCTCATTGGGGCTTATGCTGTTTTTGTCATTGTGGTGGGGGTGCTGCAAGATGTTTTTGGAGCACTTAATATAGAGCCTGGCTCAGGGTAAATGCCCAATGAGAGTGTAAAAGCAGCCATCATGGATTGGCTGCTCACCATGTACTAAGAGTGTTATATGCAGTGTGTCTCCTTTCATTGTCAGACTAACTCTGAGACTGTCCAGATTACCATTTTGCAATATAGAAATGGAGTCCCAGGGATGCTGTCATATAACCTAGGATTGAATGGCTCCTAAGTAGCTAAGCTAAGATCTGAGATGAAGACTGTTCTACTTCTATAGTGTTAGTCTCTTCCCTTTGCCTCTTTTTTGTCTTCATCAGTTTTTCTAGATAAAAATCAAATGCTTTTCAGTAGTCACTGTCTTGGTTAGTACTGTTGGTCTCACTTCATAGAAATCTATCTTGAGCTACATTGCTGTAATATAGTCTGGGTGGCATCAAGGAACCCATGACGGGGTTACTGCTGCTCTTCTAGAATAACTGATTCCGGGGCTCAATGCCAGTGGCTTCTCCCTAAGTCTTGTCCTTTGTGCATCTGCTTTATTCCCTACTCCTCCACCTGCTTGATTGGAGACATGACCCCTCATTATCCCTGGGCCTGACACTCCCTTGATTTTATGTCTAAAGGATTCCAGAAAAGGGATTCATTGGCCCATCTTGGATCAGGTGCTCACCTTTAGTGTGGTCAGCTGTGATCTGAGGCTGGAAACACACTGGAACTTAGCTTCCTGCCCAGCCATGTGTGAGGAGGAGATGTGCTCTCTAGTAGAAAGCCAGTTGGGTCAGTGCTGAACTACCATCCCCTAAGCAGCCCCCTCCAGTCACCAAGCCAGTGGATGATGTCCTCAGTTTATCCTGAGTTATTCAGAGAGGCTCCAGTTGGAAGGGACTCCTGGTTCAGGTGTACTATGAAGAGTCATATCCTCTTGCCCTGAACTGAGGGCCAATCCCTGGGACAGACAGCCATTGTTATGAGAGGAGAAGTGAGTCCATTGGGCTGGAGAGGTCGGGCAGGTTTTACAGAGAGGCTTGTGTGAGATGGGAGATGTTAGAATACTCTCCAGGAATAGGGCAGAGAGAAAGGGAGCAAGAAATTGTAAAAGGGGCATTGAAAATTGCTAGGGAAAGAAGAGGCTTTCAGATTAAGGAGTTTGATCTTTATCTCCTAGGTAGCTGGGAGCCACTGAAGGTTTCTGACAAAGGGTCATGGGTTCCACAGAGTCCCTCCAGTTTGGGAAATATTCATTTGGCAGTGGCAGCTAGGCTAGTTGGAGAGGGGGAGGATCAGGTTATTTTTTGCTGCTGGCTGTTTTGGGGAATAGAATGGGCCCAGACATCAATTCTTTTAAATGCTTTGGTGAGACCCAAGTCAGTGACATTGCCAAGGACACCTTGTGTTTGCCTTCTGATGTCTCAGTCTCTTCATATGGCTTTTTTTCTGTTTTCACATTTAGGCAAGTGTGAAATGTATAGGCAAGTGAGCTGGTCCGAAATCCTGGCT